AGTAAATTGAGAGCTTCGCCTTACAGCTCAGCTCCTTCTTCACCATGACGGACCGGTACATCAACCGCATTTTTGCAGAAGCTGCACCGATCTGCCTGTCCATCTCCCGTTCCATCCTTCCCTCACTCATGAACAAGACCCCAAGATACTTGAACTCCTCCACTTGAGGCACGAGCTCTCCACCAACCCAAAGGGATCAAGCCACCCTTTTCCAACAGAGAACCATAATGACAGAGAATAATAATAGAGCTTGTGTTGAGAATATTCAGTCATACTTTGTTTCATATAGCAGGTGTCGAATGTTTACATTTGGGCCGCTCTCTGTTCTCCAAACCAGTTTCATCTTGTGAGCACAATGGCCAGGGACCGCACACTGAGCAGTACTTCTTTAAAGTCATTCAGCAACAGATGAGGAACTATAGTGTGCAGGATAACGGCATCACTACCAATGTGGAAGAAGCAGAAGGCAGTTCCGAACAGCTGAGTCAACTGAGTGGTGAGAGTAGATGGCCAAAGAAAGAAAAGGGCACATAGGGCAATAAATTGGCCTAGAGTGTATGGAGAAGAAATAATTCAGATCTAGTAGAAAGTAGCTTTGAAACCGAGGAAAAAGAAGAACAAAAAGCTAGAGAAAATAGATGTAATTTATGAATACAAAGCAAATGTTTGGGACAGTAAGATTGAAACAGCAGTAAAGATAGTGAAGTCAAGACGGCAGCAGCAGATTGATAAACTTGTTTAAGAACAAAGACAGCTTAGGAAGCAGTGGAGAAAAGTGACAGAAAGTGAGAGAGATATGTTGCAAAATTACCTGAAATCTAGGTTGTCAAATCTAAGAAGGGCAAAAAGGCTTAGAAAAGCTAGAGAGAAAAAGGAACGCGCAAAGCAGGTTTGTATAAGGATCCATATAAGTTCACCAAGGCACTGTTTAATAAGGAGAAAAGTGGCAACTTGAATGTGCCTAAGAGAGAACTAGAGGCCTAGTTAGACAAGATGCAAGCAGATAAAGATAGGGACAGGATGTTAGGTTTACCAGTAGGTATGTCTCCCACTGGGGCAGTAGAACAGCCTGTGAAGAGGAAAGCACCAACACTGAAAGAAGTGGGAATGGTAGTTAGGCAGCAAGAGCAGGATCAGCCCCTGGGCCTAATGGTGTGTCCTATAGGCTGTATAGAAACATTTCATTGTGCAGGCTTATCAGAGCAGCATGGAAGAAGTGGCTAGTTCCTAAGTCATGGAGAAGAGCAGGAGGGATTTTTATTCCCAAGGAGAAAGATTCAGTTGAAATAAGGCAGTTTAAGCCTGTTTGCCTTCTAAATGTAGAAGGAAAGGTTTTCCTCGGTGTAGTGGCCCAAAGCTTGTCGAGCTACCTAGAAAGGAATAAGCTCATTGACACCTCAGTGCAGAAAGCCAAAGTACCAGGTTTTTTTGGATGACTGGAGCACACAAGCATAATCTGGCATCAAATTCACTCCGCAAGGAGGGAAAAAAATGTGGTGTTCCTAAATCCAGCTAATGCCCTTGGTTCTGTACCACATAGCCTACTGAGGGAAGCACTAGCTTTTTTTAAAGTACCAGACTTAGTTAAAGGGCTAGTGAGAGAATATTTTCAGGATATCTGCAGATGCTTCACAACAGCAGAGTATACTACAGCTTGACTGGAGATTGTTCATCATGCAGGATGCACAATCTCACCACTAGTGTTTACCGTGACAGTGGAGGTTATTATTAGGACATATAGATGGGTCGCAGGAGGAACGAGGCTTCAGTCAGGGCAACAGGTACCACACTAAGGAACGTACATAGATGATTTGACAGCTACCACCACCACAGCACCATGTAGCAATAGGACAAGCTGAATGCTAACTTAAAGTGGGCTAGAAAGAAGGTGAAGCCAGAGGAATCGAGCCACTCAGACGTTTAGGTAGGTGGTAAGATGCAGCTCTTTCAGGGCTTGAGATAGCAGGCAGCTGATGGGATTAAGAGCATAGAGGCATCAACCCTCCCAGGCAAACTCAAACTGTGACACCTGCAGTTTGGTCTGTTGCCACAATTGTTATGGCCACTGACAGTGTCTGATGTACCAGTTTCTAAGGTAGAGAAGCTAGAGAGAATGTGCAGGAAGTGGCTGGGAGCTCCACGCTGCCTCAGCAGTGTGACCCTGTACAGAAAAGGGATTTTGGAGCTCCCTATAACTAGTTTAACAGAATTTAAATGTGCTAAGGCTAGGCTGGAGATAACACTATCACCAATCCAGGGATGTAGCAGTGCAGAGTGCAGCAGCAACAGTCTCAGCAGGGATGAAGGGGAATACAAAAGAGACAGTGTTGCAAGCTCAGGCAGCTCTTAAACATAGAGATGTTGTAGGGCAGGTACAGTTTATGAGAGGAACAAACTGAAATACACAGAATTAGCCATGGAGGCAGAGGAGCTTGGCTGGAAAGTTAAAGTCTGCCCTGTGGAGGTTGGTTCTGATTTGTCTCTCTGCTTGGTAAGTTGGGTATAAAAGGTCAGAGTTAAGACAGGCATGGTGTGCAAACTATAAAACATAATCCTGTCACCACCACCACCACCAGATAAAAACATTCAGCTCCATGGACAGAAGCTCAAAGCAGGACCACTGCACTCAGGTCAGTACAAGCAGCAAGACAAAGTACATACGCTGTCCCCTTTCCGTCATACACCCACGTAGTTGTTGCAAGACCCTGGTGTACTGAGACCACGTAGAAGGCACAGGCATTGAGATGGAGCATGAAGAGGAGGTAGCCTGTGGTGCGAACCACTCTGTGATATTACAAGACAGAAACAGAATTAGATGTAACTCTGTTGGACTGAACCTGATTATGCTCAGTTTGTGCACGCCACGTCACTTGCAGACTGATTACTGGAGTGGCTGCATATAAACAGGTATCCTTTAACTTGATAGGTAGATAGGACATGGTACCTTTGACACTGTGATCCTACAGCAGCCTTAACCTAAATGCTTTGCTGCAAAGTAAACAAATGAGCTGTTACACACACAATTACAGTTTTTATTGTTAAATAATTGAGAACAAGCAGCCGAGCTCAAGATGAGTCCAGCTCCTTAAAAGATGTTGATCCTTTTTATTTTCAGCAAGTTCAAATATTGCTTCCTCGAGCTTGTCAGGCATTTTTAGGTTTGCTACTTAAATACAGTAATATTTGCATCACTAAATATGTAAATCATTGTGTATCATTTGAGTAAATCAGTTAATCACTTAAATGAACAAATGAGGCCACAGAGAGTAATGACTGACAAATACAACAATGCAACCAACCAACCAAACATATAAATAAATACTTGTGGTGGAAAATATAAATCTAACTGATTTCATTTACAACATGTTTATGAAGTTTACAATAACAGATACTGATATAGAGGTATAAGTAAATATGAGCACATTTCTCCAGTTTTGGCTTCCTTGCACTGGTTACCTGTTTATTTTAGGATCCACTGTAAAATTTTATTATTTGTTTTTAAATCCCTTAATGACTTTGTACCTTCCTATTTATCTGACTTGCTTCACTGGCATTCACCTATGCGTTCTTTGAGGTCAGATAATCAGTTACTTTTGAGTGTGCCCAGAACAAATCTCAATCTTAGGGGTGATAATGCCTTTGCGGCTGCTGCCCCCAAGCTATGGAATGATTTACCACTGCCCATCAGAGAAGCCTCTTCTTTGCCTGTTTTTAAGTCCCTTTTGAAACCTCATTTATTCTTGTTGGCATTTTGATATTTTATATGGGTGTTGATTTTATCTGTACTTGTAAGTTGTTTGTTTTGAATGTATATTCTTATACAGCATTTTGGTCCACCCTGGTTGTTTTTAGTGCTTTATAAATAAAGTTGGAATGGAATACAATGGATGCATAGACAGTCACGGATGTTCATATTTCATGTTTTACTTTATCACACTGACTCACTCTGTGATATTGGATAAGGCTGTAGGAGTTAGTTTCCCACAGGATGACGCCTGGGAGAGATAAAGATTTTGTACTGTGTAAAGTTATAATTTTCATTAGCCCTCCCTTTATTTGAGGAAGAATTAGACACTGAATAAATGATGACTCATGCCAATTATATGGGGTAAAAAAGTAGGCAGTGGCTACACCTGGTGAATGTTTTGAGACTGAATGTAAGCTACACACACACACACACATACATGTCTTTATGTCTTTGTGAGGGCCACCACTTCTACTATAGCTACAATGGTGCAAAACACAAATCTATCATGAGGTGGCAATAGAGAATCAAAATATCACTTCAGAATTCAGAAAACTCGAAGTAAAAAAAATCTTTTTCTTCTACACGTGTGAGGACCGGAGCCTGTTGCCACGCAGATTTGGTGAACTGGACCTTCTGTCACAAAGCACCAAAACAATGCATGTTATATCACCAGATTTTAGCAGATCTTTCATAACTGTCCCATCTTACTTTCCTGGTTAACCCAAACCACAGCATTACAGAGATGAAAGCATGTGGTTTTTAATTTTGCCAATGTAAAGTGTATTTAAATTTGATTGTATTTACATCAATTAAAAATGTTTTATAGAAATGGTATATGGTATGCATCTCTGCATTTAAAACTGGGTAGTTTTGCAGACATCTAAACTTTAGGTTTTTTCAATCTTACATGTCACTTGCTAAGTTTGCTTAACACCAGTAACACTGAAAGCAATGTTTGTCAAAGTCCGCTAATCTTGATTTACCTATTTTAATTCACCCACTCCATTGATAGAAGATTGATAAACAATTTAGCACACGAAATTAGTCACAACTGGCTTTATTTGCACAATAGTGATGCACTGCCCCAGTTGTTGCCACACCGCTGCTTTTTCTGCAGAACTCCACGGCCTGCGCTGGCGTTTGTTTTTGCTGAGTAACTGTAGGTCCACAGCTGAAATAGAAATGACAAATGTGATAGACATCCTCAATATTGATAAGTCAAAAATTCATCTGGTGATCTAATTTGTAATGTGTTGTTAATCCACATCTACTGTAATTAACACTACTCAAATCTGAGAACTGAGCAGTACCTGTTTACTCTGTCCTTTTGAGCTTGTGTGATGGTCCTGTAGCTGAGGCTCGTTGAGCCAGAATGTCTGAATCTTCTGCAGCAGAAGAACATGTCACCTCACTATTAACCACAAATCATTGTCTTTATCAGATAATGCAATATTTCATTCCACAGTGCTCCTTGCATGACCCAAAAAATGTTCATAACGTCTGAAAATTGAGATGATTCAGATGCCATCTTTGACCTCTTGTGTTTGGAGGACCCTTAAAGAGACAGCTCTGACAGCTTCATACCATAGGAGTCTTGAGCTGGTTCCAAAGACTTCTCATTGAAGACTTCTGTGTCACTTTCACTTACTTGAGACTTCTGTACAGCTCTAACTTCAGAAGACAAACCACCTGTTTTGATAAAAACAACATTTTGTGAACTTATCTTATTTCACATACTAAAGTGGCGAGTAGAACAAAAAAAACCAAACAGCATTTTAAGTATAAATTATTATGGTGGTGACAGAGTGAAACTGCAATAGTAATTTATTACTATTATGAAATCTATTTTCTACTCACTTTCTATGCCCAAATCAATCTCATCAAGAGATTTGTAGACCTCAGTTCCACTTTGATTGCCATGAGCAGCTTGCTCATCTTTGCAAGCTGAAGTGTGTTCTCGGTTAGGCGATAGTATTCACGATGAACAGGAATATCATGTCCAATGAATTTTGCAAGTTGATCCAACTCATTTTCTTTCAGGTTCATTATCTGACTAACTGTAGCCACGTTTCCTCAGGTGGGTTGACGTGAGTGTTTCAGGCTTCCTTGCCCCACTTGCAGCTGCATAGTTCCTCAAACAGTCTGAACCTCAGGGATGAGAATCCGAATGCTGTCTTGCAAAGACGTACTCATTACTACCCAAAATGCTATTGTCCTCACCCCTTGGCTCAATGAGAAAATCAAGTGATTTTGTCATCTCACTGGTAAGCAGCACAGGTACTTTACGGCCTCTTTTCCCTCTTATCACCAACCTGGTAAACTCATGACTCAAATCTTGTTCCAGTTTTGAAAGGCACTGCATAATGTTCTCATTTGGTTCTTCTTTGGTTCTGTTCCTATAGATCAACAGAGGCAATTTTGCTGCCTCACCTTGCTGTCTTTGGTTGAAAAGTATGATTTGTGAGAGAAGGCACTCACTGAGAATCTTGTATGCTTTAGGGTTAGGC